ACTGCACCCCAGCCTGGGTGACAGAGCGAGACTCCGTTTCAAAAAAAAAAAAAAAAAAAAAAAAAAGAAGTCAGTTCTAATTGAGGCATTGGAGCTCTCTAACCCATCAGAGTGTGGAGTGATTTCTCGTCTGGCTTCAGTTTGGTTGTTTCAATTACTGAGGTAATAATGTAGTCACACCTCCATTACTCCAAGGTGTGCTTCTTCTTAATTTATCTTTGTATTCACCATTGGACTTTCCAGATAATCTGTTTTTAGTGTTGTTCAGTCTACCCTGCTGAAGAAGATGTTTAGAAATATTTTCTTCCAAAATAATAAGATGAAGAAGAAATGACTTCTTCCCTTTATTTTATTTATTTATTTATTTATTTGTTTTGAGATGGTGTCTCACTCTTGTCCCCCAGGCTGGAGTGCAGTGGCGCGATCTTGGCTCATTGCAATCTCCACCTCTCGGCTTCAAGCAATTCTCCTGCCTCAGCCTCCCAAGTAGCTGGGACTACAGTTGCCCACCACCATGCCTGGCTAGTTTTTGTATTATTAGTAGAGACGGGGTTTCACCATATTGGCCGGACTGGTCTCGAACTCCTGACCTCAGGAGATCCGCCCTCCTGGGCCTCCCGAAGTGCTGGGATTATAGGTGTGAGCCACCATGCCTGGCCTCTTCTCCCTATTTTTAAGCTTTTTGTTAGAGAAATTTCAAGAATGCATCCACAGTGGAGAGCATGGCACCAAGAACCCACATGTGCCCGTCATCTGGCCTTCATGGCAGCTCAAGGCTGATCTGATTTTCTCTCTCCCCGAGCCCTCTCCCTCATTATTCCATGGCCTACTACCCCCATCCACTGGATTGTTTTGAAGCAAATACCAGAAATCATGTCATTTTATTTATAAATCCTTCAGTATGTATCTTGATAAGGACTTTAAAAAATGTGTAATTACCATGCTGTCATCACACCTAAAAAATAGGATTGCATTTCCAGTCAGTTTTAAAATTTCCGCAGTTAATGAGTCAATGTCCATTTACTAATAAGCAGGACAAACCTATACACTGGATTTGGTTGTCGTGTCTCTTAAATATATTTTAATCTATAGCTTCCCTTTCCTGCTGGCTTTTTTCCTTGCAATTTATTTGTTTAAAAAACTAAGTTGTTTGCTCTGTAGAGTTTGCCACATTCTGAATTTATTAATTTCTAGTAAAATGATACATCTAGGGGACCATATTTAATAGCTGTGAAACCAGTAGGTGAAAGGCCAACAGGAAATATATTGGATAAAGCTGATGATACCGGAGCCCTCCGGTCAATCCTAACATCCCCGAACAATCTGATGTGTACATTACCTCCTAGAGTGAATTCTTACCCAAAAATTTAACTTGAAACTGATTGAGCCTATAGTTCTCAAAACCACTTTATAGAAAATACAAGGACAGAAAAGAAAATCACATGATAGGCTTCCCCCACTTATTTTAACGTAGCAAGCATTTATTTCAAATTTCCTTGGTTACTCTGTTATTAACAGGCACTATATTGTGATGTTTTCCCCAAAGGTTACTGAGGACTAAGGTGTATCTATTCCTCACTAAATTGACTCAGACTGCTGTAATTTTGTGGTCCTTTTGCCTGGTTTTTGTAGATTTTCATCTACTTCTAATGAGGACTGACTGTACTGTAACAATTTTCACATGCCTCAGTGACCTTCCTCCTTGGTCTTCCTCCTCCACCTTAGCCCCTGCCCACAGGTTTTTTCCATTTTGCTGTGGATGGAGAAACGGAACATCTATCTTTGTAAAACTTGTAAAGGTTAAATAGCTCTCAGTGAAAGCTAAATAATGGTTTCTGTTAGTAAACACATGAATATTAGTGACAAGACTTTAGCGAGAATGCATTGTGATTTTTTGCTTTTTTCCTAATTCTTGATTGCAGTCTGAACAGCAGAAGTATCTGGATAGATGAGATATAACCCTGGTGTTGCTAAACTGATCACGTTGGATAGGAAGTTCGGTCATAACATGCAACAGTAAGCCGTAGCTATGCATAGGAAAGGTGGAAAAATTCTGAGTTAACAAAACCCAGGAGTGCACACAATCCTGAAAATCCCACAGGAATATAACCTAGATGAGATCATTAAGGATAAACAAATGCCACACTTCACTTCCTGACACATCACATTCCATGGGTCCTGCTTGGACATTCTGTGCATCACTATTGGCATCACCTTCTTCTTAAAACATCCTCTTCCTATGGATTCCATGACCTGACATTCTAATTTTCTCCCACCTCTTGGGACTCTCCCCAGTCTCCTTCTTGGCTCGTGCTCCTCTTGCTTACCATTAAATACTGGAGAATTTCAAGGCTTGATACACTGCCCTCTTCTCCTTCACATTCTACACCCTCCCTCCATGACCTCGTCCGTACTCATGGTTTTAATTATTATCTATATGCTGGTGACTCTTAAATTTATATCTCTAGCTTAGGCTCTCCTCCGAGCTCCCAATCATAAATCCCATGGCCTATTCCACATCTCGACTTGGCCATCTCACAGCACTTCAAACTCTGCATGTCCAAACACTGAACTCATGCCTTCTTCCTCAAACCTGTTCCTCCCCCAGCATTCCACCTCAGTAAACAGCAGCGCCATCCAAGATGAGCAAATCAGACACTTGGCAGCACCCTGGACACCTCCCTCCCGCTCACTGCCATATTCAGTGAATCAGTAAAATGCTGTTCATTCTCATTTCCAAATCTAGCCACGTCTCTTCATCTTCACAAATGCCACCGTAGTCCGAGCTCTCACAGTCCCATTCCTAGGTTACCTGGAGAGCTTCCTACTCTCCCCACATCCTGTCTGTGTCCAACCTATTCTGCAGCCAGGAGCCTTTACAAAATATATAAATCTGCTTATAACTTCGTCATCTTCCCAGTGCTTTGAAAAACAAAAGACCAAAATCCTGGCTTACATGGCCCTATGTTATCTACCTCCTTCACCAGCCCCATTTCACAACCCTCTTCTTGTTCTCTGGGATCTACTCATCCTGGTCCTCAGGTCAGGCCTCAGGACCTTTGCACATGCAGTTGCCTCTGGTAGGATTGCTTTCTTCTCTTGACCTGGTTAATTTCTATGTGTCTTTCTGAACCTACTTCTTTTAGGAAGTAAAAGAAGTACTTTTACCTTTTACAGACGATCAGCTGCTGGCAGGTCTTCCTAATGTCATGTTCACAGACCTCATTCTTTATGATTGAACCAGCTTTACAGGTGCGGAAACAGAAGTGTTAAGTAACTTGCTTGGGGGTCCAGGTAGCGGCTTTGTGAAAACACACACTGGATCATTTTCACTTTAACAGCAGCTACATCTCTTGTTAACAATTAGAGTTCTGTGTTAAGTTTTGGTTTAAAAATGATATGTAGATGCTGGAATGAGCTGAGAGAAAAGAAACATGCTAATTAAAAGGTAGATGAGTAGGACCTTTGAAGGAAGAGCAAAGGAGGTGGGGATTGTTTAATATGGTGTGGGGACATGGGAAGAAACCCGGATTTAGAGTTTTCAAGTTTGGGGAGGTTATTACAGCAGAGATGGCAATAAAAATACTTTTTGACTGGCCACGGTGTACAAAAGATGATATTTCTCATCTCTATAAAGATGAGAAATTGTAGCTGGAGGGGGTTTGGTTTCACAAAAGAAAGGGTGATTAAAGATTTGAACAAGACACAGAGTTAGTTTCTAGAATGTCTTTTTGCAGATGTGGTTAAAAGCAGGATCAATAACCTTCTAATTCATCTGGTGGCTCAGGCATTGACCTATTTCAGGCAGGGAGCTGGGCCTGCTGACCTCCTGAGGTTGTTTGACTGACTGACTGACTGAATGAATGAATGAATGAATGAATGAGAAAGTGAACCTTGCCATCTGTCACAGGCTAGATTGTGCTTCTGCCCTGCCTGGCGTGATAAAAGAAATACTGAGTGGCACGCATCCCTAAGGTTTCCTCAGCTGATCACACTCAGGTGGCCTTATCTGCCGCCCAGGTGTTTCCATTTATCGCTGATAAACTGTCTGCCAAGAGTCAGCGTTGGGGTAAGAGGTGGGGGAATGAGTGGAGGGGAGGGTAATACCCCAGATGTTTTCCAAGAAGACAGGAGAAAGTTATTCCTCAGTACTAATACATTTCGTCATCCTATCTGCCTGCAGATGTTAAATTTGGGAACGCTTCCAGGTTCTCTTTTTGCTCTTAAAATAAAATACGTTGTGTATTTAAAAACATCCAGGACCCAGTCTTCCCTGGGGATGTGTCTCTTTTGCATATGGATGAAGCTTTGGGGACTGAAGAGGATCCTAAATTTTACTGGCTGTGTTTCTTCCAGTCTCACCAGTCCTGTTGGGTTTCTCTGTCGGAAACCAGGAAAAATGAAGATAATCAGAATGCCAATTACTGAATACCTACTGTGTGTCATACAAAATTAAATCACCATGGCAATACTGCAAGGGCCATATTAACACCCATTTTACACTTGGGGAGTTCACCCAAAGATTGTCATTTCTCCAAGTTCACAAAAGCGCTAAGTAGCCAAACCTGGTTCAAACCCAAGTCTGTGTAACTTCAAATAATAACAGCAACATTTTGAGAGCTTTCTAGTGTCCCAGTCACTCATTAAATCCTACGGAGGAGGCACTATTAGGTCCCTTTGAAGGTAAGGAAGCTGAGGCATAGGTCATCTAGCTAGTAAACACAGAGTAGAGAGTCAAAGCCCCAGCAACCTGGCTTCAGAACTTATGACCCTGTACTGATTTCCATCCCCTTTCAACACTGCATAGAGAGCTTGGGTTGCCTGGATGCAAGCTTTAGTTAAATGATCTCAGCTTCAGTATCTTGAGGAAGAACGCTTTCTTCCCTGTGTTGTCTTGTCTTTCCATTGATCTTCTGTTGTGGGAGTAGCTGCAGGCTCCCCACCCTGTGACAGCTTTCACGTGCCAAGTCCTTGGCTACAGGTGGTGAGGTTGTGGCTCCAGCTCAAGTCTCTCCCCTGGAGCTGGATGTTCCAGAAAGGACACTCAGTTCTTCAGGGCTGTCTCTGTGATCCAGGCTTTGATCTGGGAAAGGTTGCGCCTCATTGCAGAGTTGAAGCTATCTTCCTGCTTTGTTTACATGAACGCCCTTCCAGGACTCTGTCTGCTTTTGGGGTGGAAGTGCCCTGCCAAAAACTCCAGCTCTCCATGCTGGCTGTGTGGCCAGCATACCTCCTGCCTTTTCAACGATTCCACTGCCCTGGATAGAGAGCGGTGTCTCATAACAGTTTGGAAACTACAAAAGTTTCCCTGGCAGGATGAATGATGGACTCGGTAACATGTTTTTGCCTTTTGGAGTTGCCCTCCAATTTTTCCAGGCTTGATTCTGTAAATCATTTCATCTTGTAAAAATACTGGGCTGTGAGCACAGATGATCTCAAAGGTGAGGATTATTTGAAACTCCATTTGAAAATCTATCCTCCTTTCAACAGATTATTCTTGTGAATAAAAATTTTCTTGTGAGCATGCCAGTACACAGGTAGTTCTAGGGCCTTTGAGAGGAAGTAGAATATGCTTCTGCTCCAAGAGGCTTTGGAAAAAGCAACTTGTCTATATATTGACAACTAATTTATCATCGAAAACGTTAGGCCTGCTCTCTGCAAGTGCTCCTAGGGAGGTGTTGGGGGATGAAGTGGGGAAAACTCTGAAATGTCTTGAAAGATATGTCAAACCCATGAACCTGAAAATGTCATTTAGAATATTCTGTTGCTTTCTGCCATCCCAAGGAGATGGAAATCTACTGTGGTTTTCAAGATAGGTTAAGGTTATGTAACTCACAGAGTTGGAAGAACGTTTTGGGCAATGATTTGAAGTATTGCATGTTGTAGTTTTTGCTCATTTTTCCCTTTTTCCAACAATGAGAGAGAATCAGTTGGAGGCAGGCTGTGACAGAGAAGGTCCAACAACCTAAGTTGATGGATGATATCAGAGAGGAAGCTTCTTTGACATCTGTGCTCTTCTTTAACTCGCTGACCGAAGAGTAGCCCACATGCAATTACCACATGCTTTTGAAATGAACATTCGTGAATGTTAGAAATTATCTTGCTGGTTTTTGGAGTGAAGGCAAATGTGCCTACTTTTTAGCCATACTTAGAAGACCTAACTCATTTTTTAGAGTATCTGCAATTTAGTGGGATCCAATGAATTTTTAAAAAGTACCCAATATTCTATTTAAAATTTTGTTTAGATATGAAATTCTTTCATCACGTTATACCCTAGAAAGGTAATTTTATAAAGTATATTGGTAATGTTGTAATGATTAAAACTGATCACAAAGTAGTATAAATGATTAGCTTGGGGAGAGAAAAAGAAGACCTGAAAATCTTCTATATGTTTGTGAAGCATTAAAAAAAATGACATTTCATTTAACTCTCACAAAATTTTTTCTTTTTTGCAGATGAGGAAACAGAAGCTTGGAGATGTGAGTGAACATTTCCAAGGTCCTGCAGCTAATCAGTGGCCGAGCTTGTGAAGAAACCCATAGCTTTCAAACTCTGAAACTGATGCTCCTTAGATTCACCAGGCTACCTCACTTACCGCCTAAGTGAAATCATCATGGAGGGCTCCTTGTCCACCTCTTTGCAATGACCCCAAGGATCTGAGACATAGCTACCTCTCGACAAAGGCAATAACATCACATCTAGGAGGGACAGTAGATTGATTCTTGAATTAGGCTGCTTGAGCTAGTACTCGCGCTCTGCTGTTCACATGCTATGTGGCTTGGGGGCAAATTACTGAAACGCTTTGTACTTCAGTTCCCTAATCTGGGGAAAAAAAAGGTGTGGATAATACATATACCTAACTCACAGGTTTTGTGAGAATTAAATGAAATGGCAAGTGGTTTGCCTAAGGCCTGGAAAAAATAATTATTCAATATGTCTATACATTTTCTCATTTTATTTGGAGCTTGCATCATGTTTAGTTATTCATTTCTTTAGTAGAAAGTCACTCAGAGAAAAGCATGCAGGTTTCTTATGAGAGGAAAAAATAAATGCTTGTGAGCACAATTAGATATACCAAGGAAGATGTGGGTAACCCAGTGGGACAGCATTGTTAAGGTGGCTGATCATGCTTCCTTGTTTTTGTTTTTCCCCAAACAAATTAGAGATTCCAAATTAAGGAGCAAGACTAGAACAAAGGTGAAAATTATGAAAAATTTCTGTGAAGCCCAATGCTCTATAGTAACCAGTTAGCAAAAAGCTATTGAGGAGAAAGGAACCAGACTAACGCAATGTCTTTTTTCTATAGTTAATTCCATCACTGTGATTACCACCAGCATATTTTCAAAAAAGAGACTATTTAAGAGACTCAATTCTGATAAAAGTTGGGTGCTATATAGTCTCAAAAGTGAGCTATGAAACCCTGTCCCAAGCTAGAAAAAACAAGTTTGCTGTCTTGTGAGAGTATTCTAAAAAAAACTTTTTTAAAAAAACCTGTTTCTTACTAATTATTTGATTTACATTGAACATTTTGAATTTTCCATTATGTGAAGGGTCTAAAATCTTTTGCCAAGAGCAATGAAAATGGTGGGAAGGAAAAAAAAAACCACACACACACAAAACACCCTTTGTATAAATTTCACCAATTTCTGCACAGTTAGAATACATATTAGTTTTTCTTGCATCAATAGAAAACATGTTTTCTTGTATCAATAGAAAACATGCTGATGGAGGGAATCCATTCTGGATATGTGAAAACAGGACCTTTCCCAAACAACTCAGACCATTTAAAATTGCTCCTTAAAATAGAAGCTTATTTTTCCCTTTTAGATTTTGCTCTTCAGGGATGGAGCTCATGACGATGCTCCCTCTGTGACATTGCATTTCAGGGACATTTTATTAAGCATTTCACCTTCAGTGGTGATAGCATCCCTTGCTGTTTGGGAGGTGGGGTGGGATTGATGAAAATAAAGGTTAGCCCTTCCTGATCTCCCCGGGGGCCATGTTGTCTCAGTTTTGATCATTTCCCCCAAATTAAGATTTCTGCATAAACCCCCGTGTCTGTGTTTGGCTGGCAGTTTTATGGCTGACCAAATTGTGCACTGGCCGCTGTTCTGGTTGGCTGAATGTTTATACAGGCTGTTAATCAGATCGGGGAGGGGGCTGTGGATATGGGGACTGTCTGTGAGCCGGAGCGGTCCTGTTTGCTGTCGTGTGCAAGGGCCTGCACTTTGTTACTACAAATTACATAATGACATGTTACATTTCAAAGTGTATTTTTACTTCAGGGAAAATTAAACCAATAAACAAACAACCCTGGTGGAAAAAAAAAAAAGAAGAAAAAAGAAAAAATAAGATCCCTGGTTTCCAGATCTTCCTCTTCGAAAAGGTTCTTAATTAAATTGTAGCTATAAACAAATCTTTGTTTTATTGCAAAGAGAGCAATTGTGTATAGAAGCTATTTTTAAAAATTAGGATGTGAACATTTGCTGGACAAGGGTCTGGTCCGTGTTACGTATTTTATGATCTGTACAAAATGAAAAGGCAAGCTTGTGTGGTGATGGTAGATTTTCAATTTTTGATTGCTAATCCCTCTCAAATGTTACTCCTGCCTTGCTTGAATAGAGCCTGTAAACACAGGAATTACCTTAATTTTTCCAGGTACTGATTCAAGCAAAACTGCTTAGCATAAACATGAAATTGCCGACTGAATTTTTAGTCATGTAGAAAATCAGTTCTTTTCTTCATACTATCTGCATTTTAGGAACTTTGAAATTGTTGAAAAACAAAACTAAACCAACCTTCTAACTCAACTTCCAAACTTTTCACTGCACACTTATGCATGCAACATTAATTCTTTTCTGTAAGCTGTTCAAATTAAGTATATGTTCAGGATCCAAGTTTATAATGATACCCCTCTGTGTAGTAGTTACACTCATATGTTATTGAAATATGCGTGTATGTACTTGTACAAAATTTTTTTGGAATAAACTACATTATCAAAAGAGAATGTGTTTTCACTCTCTTCTGTCTAGTTGAGTGGAGTCCTGAGAATAAGGACACCTATTAAGCTGCATTTTGTATGAGTTATTTGATCAAATCAGTTCTACCCAAGATCTGCTGTTATCAGAACCATTTGGCCTGGAATTCCTGGGTTTGTTCAGGTGTTTGGCTGCTACTAGGAAAAGCAGCAGCCCAGGAAATGGTTGGGTGAAAGAGGGCCCCTATTATATTTTAAAAACACCCGCTGATGCTCACGTTTCTTAGGCAAAATTATGATGTGACTTATAATAATTTATCAGTACAATCCACAAAATGAGAAATCACAAGATCAATTGAAATAGACAGTCTAAGTCTTCCTGTTCAGTTTATTTATTTTTAAATTCAGGATGTTTAAAAAGAAACCTTTTCCCCTTAAATCTTAGAAATAAAGAAAGAGGTTTTGAACCTTCAGTTAAAATGTCAGATTTCAGCAATGAATGGAAAAAAGAAAGGGTAGCAAAGTAAAGGACAGATACATAGTGGAGATTTTTGTGACTAAAAAGGGATCATTTGAGGCAATGCTATTTGCTGGCAAAGAATGCTTTCTCTATCTCATCTTGGATTCTTGACAGTTCTGTTTGAATAATTAGTTTAGATTACTTTATTGCTTATGATGGTATTCAACCCTGTTCCAAATTGACCATCCACTTTTCAAGTGGTTGTGTTTTTGACTTCTGTCTGGGACATTCTGATGGGGCTTGACCTTCACTTTAGAGTGAGCAGAAAAGACCACCAGATTTTTTCACTGCTGCTTGAACTTTCCTTTTCATTCTCTTGGATTGAATGCTCTCAATTTCCCCAGGCTGACAACTTCTTTCCTCTGCCTATTTTGCCATCCATGTCATGGTTTGTGTCAAGGCTCTAGGACAAGTCTACCATCAGCACCACAGCTCCTGTGCACAAATCCAGAATGCCAGACTGAAGGCAGAAGGAAGGGTAAAAGTTCAATTCTCAGATGGCAATTCAGATTTAGAAAACAGAATGAGAAAGAGCAGTGGGGTCCATCTCTCCTCAACGAAGAATTCATGTCTTAAATCGTATCTGCATCTATTTCTTTCTGTCTACCATCCATCCATCCATCTTTCCTTCTTTCTTCTTTCTCTTTCTCTTTCTTTCTCTCCCTCCTTGCTTCTCTTCTTCCTTCCTTTTCGTAAATAAAACTAGTACTAATGCAGAAGTCTGATATTAGACTTTAAAAATGAGTACTTCTCTTTTTTTTTTTTTTTTTTTTTGAGCGAGCTGGTGATTTTCTTCCTTGCTCGGCATTAACTGTCTTACTGTCTTATGATACTTATCTTTAATGTGGCATATCAGAGAACCTCTTTGAAAATGTTACGGCTTAATGCATCTCAGGGAAATAAAAGCCCACTTAAAAAAAAAAGGCAAAATAAAGCTTTCTGATATGGACTTCACAGATAATTTTTGAGAAGGTCCACTTTCGTATGCATGCAAATCTGTTTAGAAATGTTTTAAATTTTAAAGCATGCATACACATATAAAACTCATTTATGTGTTTTTAAATGCTGTTTAAAATTTTAAAGCATATATAGAGAGCAAGAGAGCAAGAGAGGGTGCTCAATATGCATCATAATAGCATGAGAACTGAAAAATGAAAGTTTACTTGCCAATTTAACTGGCTTTGCAATGCAACAGACTAAACAAGTCACATTTTATACAATGTATATGTTTATAACAGAAGTGCAGCATGCCAGTGTGCTATTTAGATCATTTTCCTGGTTGAATGAACAAGCTCACAGGTTCACCATTTAATATTTGTTCTCTTAAAAATATGAAACTAGTTTTGAAAATACTGGCTTAAATGGGCATTATTAAGTCTTTATCAGTTCTAAGTATTTCAGCCTTTTGCATCCAGAAATTTCTCAATCTGACAGAATAAGAAATGCATTTACATGGCCTAAGCTCTTAAATTGTCCCTTTCAATTAATGCCCCATCATGGAGCAATCTGGAAACCATTACTCAGTAACTCTTCATTATAATTGCTTGCAGCTGAGTATCCAGCCCTTGGTAATATAAGAATAAAAGAAAACTCAGTTAGTAACAAGTGCAATTGATTCCATTCAGAATTCCCTTGGTGCTTTGCCATGTTTGGCCTGCATAAGAGGAAACACGAGGTTTTTTTTTTTTTTTTTTTCTTCTGGGGCCAGGAAATGAATTGGCAGACATAAGATGGTTTGTGTGGTGTGTGCCTTCATTTTTCAGCTGGTCCTTGTTAAAAATGAGACGGTGGGACTCCTGCTTTCTTCCCCACTGGCTACATTTTTTTTGGAGGGCTTTTCTGGTAATAGATAAAACCACAAAATTTCAATTTGCTGCAAACTAACAGCATCCAGAAACTGTCACCTTCTGTAGTCACGGCCGATCCTGGGACTTACTACTGCTAAGGAGTGGGCTTTAGAATTTTATCCACTTCTACCTTGGTCCTGACTTTATGAGAGCAGAGTCCCTGGTGCATTCTGTACAGGTGGAGAGTGTTTATGTGTTTGGAGGCTATCAATCACCAACTCCAGAAATGTAAAGATCTAAATTATGATAGATGAAAATGTGAAAATGTGATGTGGTAAACTAACCACTCCGCCAAACATGTTCCCCTTCCTGCCCATGAAAATCAAGGACCTGGCTTTAGAAAATGGTGAAGGGAAATGTTCTGATCACCCATTCCTGTCAGAGATGATGCAGCTCATTGCTGATGCTGAGATCCAATGTCCAGTGCCAGAGTTCCCCTGGATTCTGAGCACTAGGGGCTGGACGGTGGGGACCATCAGTTCATAACATCCTGTCCCCGCTCCCTGCTATAGATGACTGAGGCCAGGTGACAAGGACACTTAACTTCATAAATTAAAAATGTGTAAATTATAAAATGAATTTTTAATTATAGAATGAATTGATGTTCAGCAAAGAAATCTGAATGTAATAAAACTCTCATTTAATTATTTCCATTATTTGCTTTCATCATCAAAGGGAAAAAAAACCTCTCTCTGAAGTTAAATGGCATTTCATTTTGATTTATTGTAGAAAGAAGATTGGAAAATCTCCCACGACCAAGGAAAATTATGAAAAATATTTCTGATATTTTGTCTACGCATTTTATTTTTGAGGGTGTTTTTTAGATTAGTGTGACTATTTTGTATTTCCTACCCTGTTGTAAACTTTTTAAAACTTGCTCTTACAGTTGTCATTAAGCACATAATTTAAAATCCCTAATCAGGGTTCTTAAACAAGAGAGAAGCACTCTCATACCCCTAGAACAAGAAGAACAAAAGAAGGAGGAAAAATCTTGACCTCCGGAAGATCCAGGACGGCACGTGTGAGGCACTGACACAGCATCCGCCGGCATCACCGACTCTCCTGGACCCCAGAAGCCCCACTTCCCAGGCTCGGAAACCCTGCAGCAATGAAAAGGAACCACAGACAAGCCATAAGGAAGAGAATTTTTCTATTAAAAAATAAATACAAATGGCAGGTTTCATGAGGACAGGGAGAATCAGGTTTTGTGTGTGCCTGATTTCGTTTTTCTGTCTAAAAGATACAAAACAATCAACTGAGTTAACTTGAACTTACAAAGATTAAAAATAATCAATTCCTGTTACTATTTTCAATTTTTCTCCAGTTTTACTTCTTTAGGTATGAAGAAATATAGCCTATTAAAACCTGGATTAATAAAAAACCTTTCATTAACTTTTAGAAGGTATGTGATAGTGAAATCAGTGTATGTCCAATAACCTTGTCCAGTGACTATGAATTCAGGTCAATTAATCAGTGATTCTCAACCTCAGGATGAGTTTGGGGGTGGGAGTGGGATGGAGGTGAAGCCTGCACTTAGTGAAGAAGATGTATCTAGTAGCATAGATGTCTATGTTTGAAGTAATCAAACCCCAAACTCTGGGGGACTCTGGTCCAGGCCGTTGGCCAAAGGTGCGTAGAGCCACAGGCATGTCCTCCAGTCTTCCTTATGAAGGCCTCCTTGATCCTTTAAGGGAGCCCTTCATGGATGGGTCATATTCCTTCATAAATCAGGCAGGCCTGTCTGCCCAGTTATCTAGGCTGTTTACAGGACCTTTTCTTTGTTTCAGATTTTCAGCACTTTTATTCAAATGCTTTCTTCTTGTCCTCCTGAGGACAAGCAATTCTCCCTTTTCCAATCAATCAACAGATATTTCTTGAGGTCTGATTAAGAGGAGTTTTCCACAATTGTTCAATGCTGCTGTTTAGTAATGTCTGTGGCCAGTCTTCCTAAGACCAAATTCTTGGATCTGAATGACTTCAAAAATCTTCTTTCAATGAACATTACATCTAATAATGTTGAGCAATTTAAACTCCTGAGAAAAGACCATAGTTTTATAAGGAGATGAGGTAGATTATCACTTTTCACCATAGATTGAATTTATTTTATCTGTATTCCTCGTTATATGTTCTTATTTTTACTTTTGTCTACTTATATTCTTATAGACAGAGTCTCACTCTGTTGTCCAGTAGGTAAAGTGGTACTCACAGGAGGCCATAGCTCACTGGCTTCAAGTGATCCTCCTGCCTCAGCCTCCCAAAATGTTGGGATTATAGGCACGAGCCACTGCTCCTGGTCTTTAGTGATATGTTCTTAATAAGGATTATTTCGTTTTACTACCACACACGGAAGTCCTATGACCAGGAAATGTACAAGTGGACAAGAAGAGCATATTAATAATAGCTGGCCCTCAATTATTTGTAGAGGGGTAGACTTACAGAGGTTCCAAAGTGAAGTCCCCATGGACATACACCATTCAATGTGTCTGGGTCAGCCAGCAAAGTATTTTTGAAAGCATGAATTAATTTTCATCATTAGAGAATGGGATAATTCATATAGGAACATTTCCCCCTGCTTCTCTAGAAGATCAATGGGTCTAGCAACAGTGGTCCCCCGTTTGGCCTGGCAGCCATGAATAGATGTTGGGGAGTGGTGGCCCCTTCCAGTGGGCCAAGCGCTCTTCAATTTGCCCCCAATCTCCTCCCAGCCAGTTTCGCTCTTCATTACCTGTTGACCCTTGTCTGCTTTTGAGTGTGAGAACTCTACTGTGTGTTAGAGCTACTTGAAATTCCCCAATTGTCCTCCTTTTCATCACTGATGACAAAACTCTTCTTTTTAATGCTGCTGTATAGACGCTTGGGTGTTGACTGTGAACTATGACCTCCGTGATCAACTTGGAATCAAATGTCTCTCAGGAGAGGATATAGAGGAATATCTGGAGGGGGCCCCTCCTCATTCACTGAAGGAAGGAGACATTCATTTATTTCCTCTTCCTGCTCACTGACTGTGAAGATAATGATCGCTTAAAGAAATATGATATAGGGAGGCCAGAGAGAAAAACAAAGAAGCAAAGCAAGAAGTGTGACAAATCCTCAAATGCATTTTGAGCAGTTGAATTGCATAGGGCACTGTAATAATGTTGCAGGACACTTTTACAAAGATTTGAACACCAGGCATTCTAATCCTAAGCACTACACAAAATGGCCCTGCTGATTTGCCCCCATGGGGGGCTACAGGCCTCTGGTGAGGTCTCTCACCCAAGTAATGAAACATTTCTGTGGTAGGCTGAAGACTGTGGGCCCCCAGATCCATGAAAGAGCAAGCTCAGCAGGTACCCAGTCTCTTCTGGGATCCAGTTTGTTCTATATCGGGGATCAAGAGGAAACCCACATAGGGTGACTCTTCTCAGGATGGTAGAGCCTAAAGGGGAATATCCAGCCCTTTCTTTGACCTCTTTCTATTCCTTCAGCCTTAGCAATGAGGGCTGGGAAGAAGAGGTGACTATGCATTTGTGCATCTCCCTGCTTCCAGATCCCTTCTCTCCACGGAGGCCGAAAATCCCGTTTAGATTGGCAAATCTGGCTGAACGATGTCCAGATTAAATCTGAGAACTTTCTCAGTGTTAAAGATCTC